GTTTCATATGGCAGCAAGTTCAAACTTGTTTCTTGTTAGATTGTGGGCTTCTGGAAGATAAGAATTGTATCTTATGCCTCCCACACTACTTAGCATGGTGCCTAATACATGATTATTACTGCTTACTCACTGTCACCATATTTCAGAGATTTTAGTTAAGAGTAAAAGTGGAATTTGGAACAATTTTTTTTCTGCCCAAGCCAAAACATGGATAATGCAAAATAAGTAGGGTTTTATTTTTTGAGAGCCTAGTAATTCTCAGTTTAGAATTCATCCAGGTACAACCAGAAACAATTATGTGTACATAGTAACTGGAAGTTTCTCCTACAAAAATAAAATTAGAAGTGACAAAATATTAATTTTCCAAGAAGTTTCTGTCAGTTATAAGGTAGAGTTATTTGCATCTTTTGATCTCCTAAGTATAATAGGAGGATTCTTATCCAAAATAATTGGGATTAATCATTGGTCCATTCATTAATAAAGTTGTTTAAAGCATAATGGCATTATAGAGTTATATAGATACTGTAATTACAACTCACGAATAATCATTTGCCAGTCTTCTAAAAATAAGCCTTCCCCTTTGACTATGGGCTTGACATTTATAGTATATTGTTCTCTTCCTAGCGTAAATCATCAAAACACATTATCTACTTCATTTTGTCCAGAAGAAAGATTGCGTTCACAAAGTTGGTTCTTTAAGAGTAATTAAAGAGAAAATGGATACATATTGGGGATGTACCCCTAAGTGAAATAAATAAGTCACACATGTGTAATACCGAATAGTTTCTCTGGTGTGAATAATCTGCAATAATACATAAGATCCTAATGAGATAATTGACTGTGTGAAATAGGAAGAAAAGGGCTAAAGGTGTAGGGAAAGTGAGAAGGGTAGGGGAAAGGTAATAAGGGAAAAGAAAAAAATATGAGAAAATGAAAAAATGGAAATGAAGTGTTTGTAAATGGGGAGGGGAGGAGTGGGTGAAGGGAGGGCAGGGACAAGGGGAAAAAATGAGAACCAAGACCTGTCATGTAAAGGTACAAGATTCCCAACGATGAATGTAATTGTACTGTATCCCTAACATGTACCAATAAACTCAATAGAAAAAGAGTAATTAAAGATATTTTGGAAGTAACCTGAATGCAGAACCTTTGTGGATGTAACGTATTTATTGGCTCCCATGTATGTGAAAGACTCTTCACTCTCCCCTAAGCCAACATCTCATTTTAATGTCGTAGAGTCTTTCTAAAGGGCTCCAACTGATTTTTATAAAAATAAACATGCTTGTTTACAGTCATATAAATTATACCATATGATACTGATTCACATAACTTAAAGATAAGTACAACTGATTCATAGCACGTAGTGTCCACACTGGTTGGAGCCGGAATGCTGAGGCACACTAGTGGGTGGTAGCCAGAGTTCATGATCAGCACGACTTGAGCACCTGTTAGTATTCTTTACACAGAGAGTAGAGACTGCCTGTTAATCTGGTGACATTGTTAAGTAGGAATTAATTAAGAGATCATTATTGCCCTTATTTGGTATTGAGTATCTTTTCTACATCATTCACTGAAAAATTGACGGTAAGCATTCATGATTAAATTTACCTTTTGTGTTAACTGAAGGACAGTGGGTTAAAGATACTTGGGGGGAGTAGTGAATAAGAATTAGCTGTAAAAATAATCCTCTTTGTTGATTGTATTGCATTAATTCAAAGAGAGCTCACAAAGAGCACAGTTTGTCTGGTCTATTTCAGGTATTGTTTCATTTCATTACAGTGATTTTCATAAAGAATTCGTATGACTAAAATCATTGAAATGATGAGAAAATCAGGAATGAAAACGTACTCACTCATTTTGCTTTACAGAGATTGACTACATGTACTCTCATCATGCTGTCAGGTTCTGGGGCTCTTTCCAAAGGTGGTTTTCTAGGTTCTTTTTGTCTCGAGGAAAGAATTGGACACAAGAGTGCATAAGGTAGGGAGGTTTTACATTTACTATGAAAAGAAACTTGCTCTGCCGAGTGACTCTGGGCCAAGCAAAATTAGGAAAAGGAGTTCACTCTACAACTTGAAAGCAGATTACTGTGAGGGAAAGAACACAAAAGTCTTGAGCTCAATGGTGACTGTCTTTTTTATCTCCCACTCCTCAGGCTGACAGGTCTAGGCCATCCTTTCAACAAGTTGCTCAAGTTCTGGAGTGGATTGAAGATAGCACTCTGATTGATTCCATGTGCAGGGCTTTGGGAACTATTTTGCACATGTGTCCTAGAACTTTGTAATTAACAGATCACACCCACTTGTCCAGCCGGTTTGCCATATCATCTATCTCATTAGATCTTGGCATGGTAGAGCACGCCTATAATCTCAGCACTCAGGAGGCTGAGGCAGAAGATTGCCATGAGTGCAAGGCCAGTCTAGGCTACAAAGTCAGTTCAAGGCCAGCCTGAACTACATACGAGACCCTGTCTCAAAAACCAACAGAAATAATAAATACACACATGCACACACATGTACACACCATGGCTTGCAGTCGGTAAAATGAGAGCAGGTCCATAGCATTAGGAGACAATGATAGTTACCCTATTTCACCCAAAAGCATAGCCTGGATTTCATCTTGTTTTGGAACATATTTTAGAGGTCAAAACAAAAATTCATACATTTTGAAATTTATACTGCTATCTTCATAAGCAATTGATGCCCATGTAGTAATCTGAAAAAGAGCTTTCTGACTAATAAGCAATCATCTATAATAAAACTCAATTGATGCCGTCTGCCTGGCAAACACAAGGTACCAAGTTTGATCCCCAGTACCAAAAAATAAAATAAACAAACAAAAAATTCAATTAAGACATTCTACATAACTTAGGGATAGTCTGTCCTCCCAAGCAGGTCACTGTCATTCATTGCAAGAGACCCCAAGGAGACAGGTCTGACGTCTCCTTGGGAAGTCAAAAGCCTGATAGAGAAGCAAGAAGGGCAGCCCTACAGCCCCTCAAAACCCTAGCCTTATTTCCAGACCCTGAGGAACCATTCTGGTCCTTCCTCAAAGGAGAGAGTGGAAAGTTACAAAACCTTGCATGGGAAATAGTCACTAGAATTTTCAAGGTACTAGGAAGCTATTCTAGAAAACTATGCTTGTGAATCCTAGAAGCCCTGAGGCTCCTCTTCAAAAAGCCAGGAGCCAGTGCTGCTCCGGGTACAGATAAGTAGAGTTTCATACTCACCACACTTTAAAAGGGCAGCTGCATTGAGACTCCTGTTTTTAATTAGAACCATAATGTGGGCAATGTTTCTAAAGCTATGGCTCTCAGGCTCTTGAAAATTTATGTGACAGCCCTCTTTGCTATCTTTCTCCTCCAGAGGAAGCATGAAAATCTGACCTGCTCCTTCTCATGTCTGGGCTCTGTATCTCCTACTTAGTAGTAAAGTTACTCTCCTGATAAATCCACCGAGTGTTCTCCCATCAAACAGGCAACTCAACAGTCACTATGTCTTTTCTCCTTGTCTTCTAACAGTTTTTTTCTTCGACTCAGCCAGTGAGCCACAACATTCCAGAAAGTTGAAGTGCACATCATCTCCAGTAGGTGGGGAAGCCCCCTTCAGCAGGAAGTACAAGAGCTGTATGAAGACAGAGACTTGCACTCCCTCAAAACACCATCAAGAATTGTAGAATATGTGTCTCTCGGGGGAAATGAGGCAGGAGATTAGGGTGTGGAAAGCTGGCTGGGAATGTGGGGCTGATCTGTTAATTACAAAGGTCCAGGACAGATGCACAGAATAGTTTCCAAAGCCCTATACAGTGAGCCAATCAGAGTGCTCTCTCTAGTTCTTTTCCCCAGAACTCCAGCAAGTTGTCAATCGGAAGACCTAGACCTTCAGGAGTCAGAGATACGAAAGGCAGTTGCCACTGAGCTTGGGGCGACTGTGTTCTGTCTTTCAAAGTAGTTTGCTCTTGTGCTCTAGCTTGTACCTCTTTTCCAACTTTCACTTTGTCCAACCTTGTCTGTAGAGCATGTTTCTTTTCTGATTTTTTAATAAATGTAAAACCTTGCTACCTTTTGCCCTTGTTTTGTCCAATCCTTTGTTCAAGATGAGAAGAATATAGAAAACCACTTCTGGAAGGAGACCCCCCAAGACCTCCAGAACCTGGTAACAATAGTACCATAAAACACCCATGATGGTTTATGTGAAATCAGTTTTGTAGCGAAATGTCAGAATGGGGGTGTAGGATGAAAATCAACTGAGAATTTTCTAGAAGTGAAATTGAAGAATGGGTGGTTGGAGCATCTCTGTAGTAAGGTTTGGATTTTATCATACCATAGTGTTCAGAGATGTAATCATTCATAGATATCATTTAATCTAGTCATTTCTAAACTGGCTAATTGATTTGTGTATCCTAATTAAAATTTCAAATTAAAAAAAAATCACATTTCTTATAGGTTATCCCAAATCTTTTTCCTTAATGCAATGACCTTATTCAGTTTTTCTAGTATTTAAATACCTTTAGTATTGTTTTTGATAAAGGGATAAGGTGACAATGAAGGGACATCACATGAAATGATGTCCAGAAAATATACTCAGAAACATTCTATTTTAAAAGCAACTAGTTCAAGGAAGACTTTAGACCTAGCGTGGGACTATGAACCCAGCTATTTACTTTCAGAATGATTTTTAATCCCCTTAACCCTGTTTGCTTGAACAATATTTTTCTTCAGATCTTTCTGAAGTCCTGAGAATTTTTTTTTTCAATATTAAACATGCTTCATAGAATCCCATTACATATGAATCTCTTCACCCAGTGGACATTTGTTTTACTACTGGATGATACATAAAATGAAATTAAATAAATGCACGGAAATGTTTCAGGTTGTTATGCTGTAAATCTCTGAGTGAGTTCTGGGTGGTTTAAACTTCACCTAGAAAAATAAGATATGTTAAAGTTTTACCTTCTGAGTGTTAGACTTGCTTTAACATTTTTATCTTCTCTGTTTCCAGGGTTTTGAAGGTGTTTCTTTCACGAACAGCACAACGAATTCCATATATGACTGGTGGCCGGGTCATGAGGATGCTAGCAGTCATACTCTTGGTAGTGTTTTGGTTTCTCGTTGGCTGGACTTCGTCTGTGTGCCAGAATTTGGAGAGACAAATTTCACTTATTGGCCAGGGGCAAACATCTGATCACCTTATCTTCAATATGTGCCGCATTGACCGCTGGGATTACATGACAGCTGTTGGTATGTGGTCACTTGTTTTATGTGATTGTCTTATCATTTTTCAGCAGTATTAAAGTTAGATTTTTAAAAGGCTTGGCAAATCCTTTCACAAAGTCAAAAGAAACTTAACCTAATGCTATTCTGGAAAAAGAATTATGAAAATGGCATATGGATGGCAAACTTTTTCTGAAAGTTTCTATTCTTTTTCAAAATTATATAATCAAGTAAAGTAAAATGAAGAAATGCAGTGAACAAAAACTACTTCTGTGTACAAAGAGATTTCCTGTTTCTATCTTATCAGTTTGTCTCCCTTTGATTAAGAGTAGCCATTACCTTGATTTATGCCTTTAGTTATAAGGCAAAAATGCTGTGTTAGTATTTTTCTATATTTTGGGCCCTATTATTCAAATTGTGTATATAGGGCGTTCTTTGTGAAGAGATCGCCTCCGACAAATTTCTGATTAATTTTTCTTTCCTAGACTTATCTCTAAAGAAAATTATCAGTAATTGTCTGGAAGCCCAGTATTAAATAAAGAACAATCTCTACTTCTTGGAGGTAGTAAGAATTTGGTAGAAAAACTTGTGAATTTAAAAGAATACCATGATTTGGTCTAAAAACACAGTTGTTTTTTTTCTGATACTCACTATTTGAAAAATAAAGAAGGGAGGAAACCCATAGGAATTTTATTACTAGCAGAGTTCTTTCTTTCTTCCCTTCTTCCCTTCTCCCCCCACCTCTTTCTCTCTCTTTGAGAACTTGGTATATAAAGTTTATCTGTGGAAGCAGTTCTGATATTGACTTTGGTCTGGATATGAAAATTAAACTAATTGTATAAATATAAAATTTCTACTCAGTAGAAGCCCCTAATACTTTATTTTATGCTTTTCAATGCAAGTTAATCAAACCAGGAAAAGTAATTTCCTTTTGCTACTATGAAGGAAAGCCCATTTAATTTATTTTGTTTTCCAAAAATAACACAAAATATTTGATAACACAAACAAGTAGGTAATATGGCCTGCTCAACAGCATTGTTTGAATTTTTTTACACATTGTCTTTGAGATGTGTTCAACACCTTTTCAAAGTTTATTTGGCACCCTGGAGTGTTTATATATTTCTATATCATTGACAATCATCTGAAATTAATCTTAAATAAAGTATATTTAACTCTAATAATTATATACGATGAACAGGATCTACTAAGTACTTATAATTTCTCCAATGCTGAGCTGAATCGTTTTGGGGAGATATAAAATGTATAAAGATCTTATGCCTCTCAGCAGGTAGATTACCACTGGTTAATATAGATAAATGATAATTGTTACAAATTGTTAATGGCGAAGACTCTTAGAGCAATAATAGCTCACTAAAGAAAGACGAGTTTGAAGCACAATTCAAGAATCTTTACAAAGAAGGTCTTTGAGTCATGGGTAATATGTAGGTTATTACAAAGCGGTGTAGAGAACATTCGTTTGTTAGGGATAATGGCAGATGGAGGTGGGTGGGGATTGTATGGAACATGAAGGAAATGTCTGAGTGTGAAAATTAGAATGCGTTATGTTGGAAGACGCTGTAAATGCTGCAGAGTGGTGAAGTTTATTGAAAACATTTATGGGGAATTTAGAGAACTGGCAGAGTAGTACAAGAAATCAGTAAATTCAGTCTCAGTGGCTTTAGAATGTGTTATCAAAAAAGGAAACCAAAATCAGGGATTGAGATGGTAGAGTGGAGAAACATTTTCAATAGTGGTTCTTAAAGAATGGTCCCAGCCACGGCATTCCCAAGGAACTGACGAGAATTAGAAAGTTTTGAGCCACATTCCAGGATTTCCCAGGCAGATACCCAGGACCCAGGGACCAGTAATCGTCGCTTAGTAAGCGCTCTGGGTGAATCCGCTATGGTAACATAAGGAACCACGGACTGGGAAGGTGTGATCAGATTTCTGTACGCAGCGATCACTGCGCTGCCCTACAACACTCTTGCTCACCCCAACATCGGTGCCACTAGTGTGTTCTTCGTGGGGACTGTTGCAAGGCTTACTTTGTCCTCAACTTGCACACTATCCGTGTGTTTTTCTTAGTAGAGAACAGTACTTAGAGTCAGTAGGAGTTATCAGACAAAAGATTTTAAAATCCTTGCCCAGTCTTCCCACACCCACACTCGCTCTCCTTTTCTCCCTCACATTATTCTGACGTAGTCCCAACCTGCAGCACACTCACCCAATGCCTTACCTCTCCCAGGCCCAGTGACCTCTCCCGGTCTGTACAGCCTTTCTGTCATACAAAACTCCTCTCAAAATCACTTACTGAAGCTGGGGCTTTAGCTCAGTGGTTCCACCGCCTGCCTTACAAGTGCAAGGTCCTGAGTTCAATCTCCGGTACCAAAAAAAAAAAAAATTCACTCATTGAAGAATTCATTGCAGGTCACAACTTTCTTCTTAGATCATTTGTTCACTCACTCTACAGAAGCTCTTTAGTGTTCCAAAGTATTTCCACACCACCCAAGCAGGGGTTGGTCGGTGAGCAGAAGGGAGTGCTCCTGTAAGATGGAACTGCTCCCGGCTATTTAGTGTCACCCTTTTTTCTACTGAAGTAGAGTGTTAGCTATGAACACAGGTCCTAAGTTGAAAGGATTTCATTTTTGCTTGTTGCACAGTGCTATTCCCAAATGGATCATATACGTGATTTTCTTACCACAAGTATTTCAGAAAGAAGAACCACATAAAGGAAATAGTTTGGGAAAAATCTCTAAACCACCATGAGCCATTTTTCCTTCACTGAAGAAATGGTTTAAACCTAGAGGGGAAGAAAAATAACTTTCAGAATCCTATGGTCATTTATATCTATTCTTACTTCGCAAAACTAATCTTGTATAAAAACTTGTGAGGTAACCTTTAGTGAAGAACAAACAAGGATATAAATTTTGCAATTGTGGAAGGCAGATGGATCTCGGACAATGTGAGAAGTGCTCTGTAGAACCAGGAGTTGTGTTTTTTAAGAAATGATTTTATTCACCTAGAAGAAAGAGAATTTTTAAATTTGGAGGTTCCAAAATAATTCTTTTTTTCCTCACTGAGTTTATTGGTGCTTTTTAGGTATACAATACAGTTACATTCATCATTGGGATCTTGTACCTTTCTTTTTTCTCTCTCTCTCATTGAGTTTTTTGGTGTATTTCGGGTATACCGTATAGTTACATTCATCATTGGGATCTTGTACTGTTACATGACAGGTCTTGGTTCTCATTTTTCCCCTTGTCCCTGCCCTCCCTTCTCTCCCTCCTCCCCTCTCCATTGACAAACACTTTATTTCCATTTTTTCATTTTCTCTTATTTTTTTCTTTTCCCTTATTACCCTTCCCCTACCCTTCCCACTTTCCCTACACCTTTAGCCCTGTTCTTCCTATTTCACATTGTCAATTATACCATTTGGATCTTATTTACCCTTTTAGTTTTTCACACCAGAGAAACTATTCAGTATTTATACATGTATGACTTATTTATTTCACTTAGGAGTATATGCTCAATATGTATCCATTTTCCTTTGAATGACTCTAATTTGTCATTCTTTATGGCTGAGTAGTATTCCATTTTATAGGAAAACCACATCTTCTTTATCCAAAATATTTCTAGATCAGATTAGAATATCTACAAATAGGTAAACTGCCATGACTCATTGAGAATTATTTCTATAATGAAAATGATAACATAGGGCTTACAAAACTACTTATCATTATAAGTAGTTTATCAGTATATTGTAGTTTGAGTCTTTCTGAGTACATTTAAATATATGTTCTGCAGATCACAGACGGCAAAAGTTTCTCCCACCTGTTAGTCTCTCTTTCCTCTCCCTGTCTGATAGCTCCACACTCCTCAGATCCATTGCTGTATCACTTGTGCCATATCCCTGACCCCAGCAAAGCATCTGACTTTTGTAAGCATTTGAGAAATGCTTGCTGGAAGAAAAAAGCATAACCTTGTGTCCCTTCCTCTTTTGATATTTTTATATGGTAAGAATTAGAGTAGGATGAAGAAACTTGCTAAAGTTAAAAGTCCAGAAGTTATACAGTTATCTTCAGTTTCATTTTAGTGATAAACATGTATGTTCAATTATGGGCAAGTATTTTAAAGCAGTTTATATAAATTGGCAATCCCTTCAATCCTATGAAACTGCCCTCCTTTCCCAAGAGTCCACATAACAGATTGGTACAAATTTGATACAACAAATGAAAGTTATAATTTAAATAGTAGAATTACAAGTATTGAAATAAAATAAGTTTTTTGCTTTTGATGCAAATATTGGTTATTTCACTGTCTTCCAGGAGCTATGTCAAGAATAAAGGGGGTTGAAACTAGAAATCATTTTTCCAAATTAATATAAAAATAGCCAAATATCCTAAATTATACCTATTTTAATAAATGTTGATAGTAGGATTGCCAGAATTTTTCAAATCATAGTCACCCTCTTTGATAGTCAGTTGTCTGTGGTCAGGGTTTTTGACAATAGCATTAAAATTTTCCATATTACAAAGCCAAAACTTTATTTCACTATGAGTTTCCTACCTAGCCAATACAAATTGATACATGGATAGTACTGACCTCTTGAGCCTAAATTAACCTTTAAATTTCACTCCTAGAGGCAGACCTTGTCCCCTAGATTTAGGTGCCCAGAAGTGCTATAGTACAGGGCTTCTAGATTTGGAACAAATGAGTAGCAGAGGTGGCAGCATAATGGGCTTCTGTCCTTTGTATATGCAGTAGGGTATTATTCTATTTCTACTTACACATTTAGAATATATCTTCAAGGGCTGGGGATTTATCTCAGTGGTTCCACCACCTGCCTTACAAGCACAAGGTCCCGAGTTCAATTCCCAGGACCAAAATAAATAAATAAATAAACGAATAAATAAATAAATAGAATATATCTTCAAAACCTGAAACAATTGCACTGACCAAGAAAAATTAGAACAAGTGGGCAGCTCCTTACTTACAATAAGACTGCAAAACCGTGGCTGATAAATGGT